CGGCGACTGACTTCCACAGAAGAAAATTATGGGTCATAAAATGACCGCAACAGCTACCCATGTTTAGGCGCCGATATCTCAGTTTGGATATCTTCAAAAAATGCAGTTAAGTATTAATGTAGAAAATTTCTATTACATACAATAGCTAAATTTTCGAAGAAATCCCATTGATACGCGCTTGAGTTCTGGCCGGAAAAGTGAAAGCAATCAAATTCTGAATTTGGATGCGGTTATTTGAAGCTCAGTAACTTTATAAGAGATGAGGATGAGAGCCCGTTTCAGGCACCGTTAGATAGAGCATGAAAACAGCTTCGCGACAATATACTACATCCACTGTAAAGAAGAAGTATTGATGGAAAAAAGTTGCCCTGAAAAAAGGCTTGGAAAATCGGCCATTTCTTTTGCATCAACCTAATAGTCTTCCTTATCTTTATTTTTGTGATATTCCTTTACGCACAACTTATCGCAACTCAAAAGATTCTTTCAACCATCTGAGATAATTTTCCGGCACTTTAAGCACCTTCTTATGTTTATCACATGGCTGACATTATGGGGCACCTTATCGAAGACTTTTTCGAAATTCCTATGATTGTATGTAATCTTTCTGCTTCTTCTTGTATCTTTTTATCAGTTGTTTAGTGCAGTGGTTACCATCAACTGATTCATCGCTCTTCCACACCTGTCTAGTGGTAAATCTACAATGTACTGACGTTCTTTGCGTGCCGATCTTTCATTCAAGTTTTTCCAATATGCAATTAAAAGGGAATTATCTTGCATTTGCGAATATGTATTTATTTCTCCCATGCAAATATGCACACGCTGATACACTGAAAACTACGTACCAGTACGGCCCCTTCTCTTGCACGATTCTTTCTTGATACCTAATACGAGCGAAGTAAGCTATCAGTTTGGCTAATGAATAATTTGACAGGCAAGTTCTTTATAACCTCATAAAAGCTTCGGCCACTTGGGTGCTACAATAAGACCCTATGATCTGCAGTCGGCGGATTTTCAGAAATGTGAGAACTTGGAGACATTTATGTGCAGGAGTTAATCCTCGAACAGCCAAATTGCTCGAATTTGACCATCTACGGCTATGTAGCTGCAAACCAAAATGCGTGTTCGTAGCATTTGCACATTTTCCATTGATCTCCCATTTTTATCGCATGATTTTCCGTTATCTGGTATAAAAATTGATTTTACACTTTCTTTCACATTTCGTCATCGAAAAAAAAATCCAGCAGTCAACCTCTGAATCCCCTCGAATGATCCTAATATGGCAGTAACATTTTCACAAAAAGTGAATCGATTAAAATTTTTATTAGCCATTCAAAATCAACTGTAAGGGCACATTTTTGCTGAGGTTATTCTTACAATTAATCGAAACTCCATGTTAGAATGTCCGTGCAGAGACAAGGGTGGGGACGGCTATTGAGCGATATACGAGAAAAATACATGAAGAAGGTTTTGATACTGCAAGAGTTTTTTGCTGATGCCGGTTCAAGCAAAACTGCGGTGAAACAATGAAGGCCTTTTTTTCGAAAACACTTCTCAGCCACTCTGGAATGCAGAGACCTTCGTAGTAATCTATGAATGAGAAGCAACGGAGATGAAAAGAGCATCGAATCTGATTTCGGTTTTTCGTCAAGACTCCTGGATATCGAGTGAAAGTAAATTAATAAATTCTCCAACACGACAGGAGTTGTAAACAGGGTCAAGCAAGGGGTGTGGCACACGATCGCTGGTTACCACCCCCTCCCCCTGATTGCTGTCTTAATAAGACCCCCCCTGAACTATATATCTAAGATAGCATTACCAGAGTTGAGAAAGAGGACAGGCACAAGTCTTTCGAAACCCCCCCCCCCCCCTCCCATGAAAGCCCTCAAACGACCCCTTCTTCCTCCTGTTAACCTTTGGACCTCAAAGTGTGACATTCTGGAGGACACCATCTTTTTCTAGAGAGTTTTCAGATTTCTGAGAGCTGCACGCCCGATTTTCTGTGACTGCACTTTACAATCACACGTAATTTGACGACTCATTTTGATCTGAATGGGCGTATTGAAAGAGCCATAATTTTCTTATGGGTGGGGCGTTCGGCTCCAAATTTCCAATGTAGCAAGAAGAAGCTATGTGCTCAATACTCATACCAGCAATGGAGCGCTTTCTGGATTTTGAAGGCAAGTTAAGGGGGTGCGGCATACCCCCTTAAAAGCTGCGGCAGCCGCAGCTTTTAAGGGGGTATGCCGCATCCCATTAACTATATCAAAAAAAAACATTTTTGGCGGACAGTATTTATATGAATCGATAGCCTAAACCTTGTAGATTCCATAGGACTGTTTGGAGCCTGATTTGTCTTCTTAGCTCTAACTAATATTTGGTGAAAGCACAGCGATCAAAAGCGAAAAATGGGAAAAACGAGATTTTGGATGGCATCCAATTCCACAGTTTGCAGGTCTTCTGAAGCGGGATTCCTGAGGTGGACAAAGAAGGAGTAGTGCTTTGTCTTGAGTGCAAAAACGGATAGCTAATTCACCTTTGAAACAAAGTTAACCATGGAATTTGACCATTTCATTTAGGTAGCCTAGTATCTTGAATCTTCAGAATTCGCTCACACTTTGTCTACAGGGGTTAATTGACATGCTAATTATGGATACGATACGAATATCATGTTATCACTATTATCAGATTACCCAACTACGACCCCTTCCCCTTTTGACTCCTCAATACGACCCCCCAGGTGTGGCGTGCCGCACCCCTGGAAGGGACGCAGGAGTTCCTAGCACCTCCATTCGCACCAGCATTCACACTCTAGAAGGCTCCTCGCACCTTTGCGCAACAGAGGTCAAACCCTGCCCTCGCTCCACTCCTTCACTGTTCTCGTTCGAAGGCTGCGGGAAGAGGGAATAGCATAGGCATGCAGCGAAGATTCGTGAAAAATCGTCATCTTGGGAGGCAAATCTCCTAATTATTGCACCTGAGCAAAGACACTTTGAAACCCTGAAAAAAACCTTACAGTACTTTAGATAAGCAGTGAGTATATTTTTGGTTTGAAACTGTTTTGTGAAGAAAATGCGTTGAAGTTGCTTTTCACTGCAAAGAATTTTTCGCAGTTTTTGTTTCTGCATTATCATAGATTAAAGCTTGCCAAACATACGGAGCATTGCTATGAACGTTTCAAAGTTTTCTTGATGATAATTATCGCCATTTTGATACTACCACCTCGGCACTATTTACAACAGATTCAATACGAAATTTGCAGTGCAATCTTTGAAAACTTTCTTCTCTGAGGTACCAACAAAAAGATGAACTGGGATTATCTTGAAGCTCAGAACCCACTTCTTTTTCTGAAGAAGCCATGAACTAGGTTCAAATCTAGGTAAGTAATTGAGTTTACTTTGATTTAGGCGAGTACTTTTGCATCGACCTGTATAGTAGGTCAGAACCGTTTTGGCATGCTAACAGAAAATTTACAAAATTTCAGCGGATATTTAGCTAAAAATTGATTGCAAAAGTATCAACAAATCTCTCAAGAAGAAGGTCTTTTTTATCATTCATTGTCATGAAAAGCATCAGAATATGAATTCAAACAAAAAGGAAATCTTAATACTGAAAACGCATTCATCTCTGTCAAAAAGTTGTTGAAAAAGTGAGAAGCTCAATTAATAATTATATTGCTCAATTATTATATTAGCTCAATTATTATATTATTATGTCAATTATTTTATCATATTACTATATTAGCTCTTATTCGGTTAATAAATCAAGATTAGCTTCAAAGCCTGTTCTAAACACCGCAATAAGTCAAATTTCATCCAATTTTTCTTTCAATTTTTTTTTGTTTATCCATTTAACAGAACACATTGGGACTATTTTCCATGCCTGCACAACTCGGAATGAGATTAGCTAGTAGGCGGAGCAAGTGGGGGCGGAGCCGTCTAAAAGGTGCGAAGGCCCCTTGGAGGTGCTAACTATCCCTGCAAGGAAAGGCGGCGAGGCTTTGGGAACTCCTGGGCCTCCGCCCCGCACCCCTCGCTTGACCCTGGTTGTAAATGCTAGAGCACCGTCGCGAAGATCAAGAAGTCACTTCACTTAAGATACTCGATCATTTTCAATGGCACTATCAAACGTCAGGAAAGACTAGCGAATGTGCCAGATATAATTTCCACGCTCGTCCTAAGCAGCCACACTTACTTCTGGGCAGTAAGTAATTCTTGTTGGTTAATAATCTATAGTTGCACAAGTTGCAGAATTTAAAACAACAGTGTATTATAGTATTGTGATAGTAATAGAAATAATAATATTGATGTAGTAAGTATAGTATAGGAATACTAATAGTATGGTATAGTAATGAAATGCCCTTCTTCCATTAGACAGTATGACATGCATTGAGTTTGAAATATATATCGGAGTCAATAATATAGTGCAATTTTTTAAGCCCGATTTTCTCTATCTGTAATTGAATGAGTGATAACACAACAATCTTCCGATAATTTTAAGACTCTGCATCAGTATTCCATCAATGGCATGCGTCAGTCATGTTTTTCTGATGGCACAGAGTCTGCTTTGGAGACAAAGCACACTGTCGCCTCTTCATCTCATTTGATCTATTCCGATTGAGAAGATTTTCGCTTTAACAATCCTCGCGTATTACGCACGCGATTTCAACAACTATTATTGACTACTCCTTCCTTTGGCCGTACCTAACTTCTTTCGATTGTTTCTTACGTGTATCATACCACTGAGTGAAATCCAGTCGGTTTTTTTTCGGCTTACCTTCCTCTCCTTTTTTTCTATCGTGCTAATAAGTTGCAGCTCTCGCTCAAAGTTGCCTGCGTGCCAGAACCGTGCTAGCGTCGCGCAGGCACATGTAGGCAATGATGGATCCCGGAGCTGGCACGACAACTTTCCACACAACCTTATTTTCTCTTAAACTTGCAATTTTGCATTGCTGCGTTATAAAGAATAGTGGTTTTGATCCAAATTAGATTCAAATATGACTTTCTAGATGTTGCTGTATCGGCTCTGTGTTGTTTCTTTTCTGTTATATGCAGTAATGGCCAGGAGAGGTGGATCCTCAGGGGGAAGAGGGTCGTCACGATCCCGAATATCTGTCTCCCACAAATCGTCGTCACATCGATCGGGTTCATCTGGCCGGTCGTGGTTTTTCGGATCAGGTTCCTCACGTTCCCGATCGGGTTCATCTGGCCGATCGTGGTTCTCCGGATCAGGTTCCTCGCGCCCCCGATCGGGTTCGTCTCATCGATCCTGGTTTTCCGGATCGGGTCCCTCTCACCGCTCTTCTTCGCATCATCATTATCACTACTACCATTCATCACCACGATTCAGAAGACTGTGAGTTCCATTCATTGACAATAATTGTAGGATCTCTTACATCACTCCTTCTATCCCAGATTTTCTTCAACCGGCTCAGCTGAACGCACAGCGTTATTCCGCGGAGCACTATTCGGAGCAGCTGCCGGATATCTCATCCATCAAGAAGGGAAATACTACATCAATGATTCTGACACACCTATAATGTTAGTCCAAATCTTACGGCAAACCTCGCTCCAATTTCCAGAAAAGGCCATTGGTATCAATCATTGAAAAAAGTTCACTATTTGCAAAATTTTTTCACATAGGTTTTAATCGAAATTTTTTAGGTTTTTTCTTATAAACTGCGCTACCTCATGAAAATGATATGATACACAGTGATAAGGCTGCGTCCAAAACTGTCCTGTGCCAGCGCAGCCAATTGAACAATACAGCCTCACGTGCGATCTGGCATGGCGCTGGCACTGCGCTGGCAGGCACCTCTGAATGCAGTAATATTATGAACAAAGCTTTTTGCATAAGATGCTTGAAAAGATAGCGAGTAGCAGACTAAATCGACTACGTCGTTTTTTTTCGAGCCATTCATTTTTCTCAAAGATCTTTATTGCGTTTCTTAGCCGCAGTAGTATGTGAGTGATAGTGAGTGATAGGAGTGATAGGCATAGTTATCCGCGTCCTGCAGAGAAGAAATTTCGGGTGCTTTCCGAATTTTCAGAGCCTATAGCTCGTTTGAAAAAAATCCTAGGCTAGGAAACTTCAAAATAAAGATCATTCAAGAAGTGAAAATAAGCGTCCATACGGTAGCATGATAAAAATCATAATCTTAAATAAGTTACACTAATTTCACGAGTACAGGACGCACCTGTTTTTTCTAAATTCGATCACCTGGACAACCAAAATATTTCGCAACCAAGGGACCCTATACATACTGCGCATTGCCTTATGTTAAAGGCAACGAGGCGGCTGAGCGGCTCGCTTAAAATATTGAAAAATTGCGTCTTTTACTCGTGATTAATTCTTATAACCCTTTGATTGGAAATCCCTTAATTTTATTCATTGGGCAGAAGCAAACGCGGGGTTAACCATTTCAAGAATCATGAGCATTTATGATAAGGAATTGTCCAATGACTGTACCCCGAAAAATATTAAAAAATTTATTCCTCCAATGTAATCTTACCAAACATAATGCCTTTTCCTCATACAGTCGATCGGACCCCTCCGGCGCAGAAATGGCAAGGCCGCGGGGTTTCCCCAGCGGTGGGTCTGCCACTCGTGCGCCGGAGCCCCCCGATTTTGTGCGCCGCAGCCCCCCCCCCATTTTGTGCGCCGCAAGTCTGCCGCGGCATACTGTAACTAACCCTAAATAGGCTCCAAACCCCAATTATGTCTCTAAATCCCGCCCAAATTAGCCGAATACGACCCCCCCCCCGGGTAGGACTTCAGCGCGACCCTCACCCCCGTACTCTACCCCCTCCCTCTCACCTCTAGCGTTTGTAGATAGAAAATAGAAGAATGAAGACAAGACGAAACATTTAGTTCAAATTGACTGCATAACGATTTACTGAAAATTGCAGTTGTTTTGATTTGCATCCAATTCTGTTTGTGCCAGATGTGATGAGATGCAGTTCGATCACACTACGGGCTTGGTTATCGGGAGGAACAGCTCCGGTCGAGTTCAACGTTGTGTGGTCCTCGAGTGATTCTTCCAGAAAACACACTCTGGATAACATTGGTGGAGTGGCCGTGGAGGTTAATCGGAATTTTTTTAGTGATAGGTGTCGTAATTTATGGTTTTTCCAGGTTTGTAAGTGCGAAGCTCTTGCATCAAACTGTGGCCGATGTCTTACGCTGAATGCTGAAAGTATGAATGTGGCTGGTGTGTTATAGACAACAGATGTGTTAGACCAATGGCATGCTTGGCAAGATCACCACAAGACTGGCTGAATAGCACGCAGCTGTGTGCAAATCCAGCTAATGAAGACTTCAGTCCTAAAAAGGGACCCGTCGGTGGAAAAACGAAGGTTAGATCTACTGCTGCTGCGTTCACCTGTTTGTCGCTTTCTAGCAAGAAAGTACTATCAGGTGGGGTAACCATGTGTAATGAGACTAGTGGACCAGTAACTAAACGTACCTTGCCAAGCATCTTGCCAAGCATGCCATTGGTCTGACACATCTGTTGCCTATGACACACCAGCCACATTCATACTTTTCAGCATTCAGCGCAAGACATCGGCCACAGTTCGATGCAAGAGCTTCGCACTTATAAACCTGGAAAAACCACAAATTACGACACCTATCACTAAAAAAATTCCGATTAACCTCCACGGCCACTCCACCAATGTTATCCAGAGTGTGTTTTCTGGAAGAATCGCTCGAGGACCACACAACGTCGAACTCGACCAGAGCTGATCCTCCCGATACACCAAGCCCGTAGTGATCGAACTGCATCTAATCACAAGCACAAACAGAATTGGATGCAAAATCAAAACAATTGCAATTTTCCTCATATCACATTGTCGTTGATTGTCCCGACAGCAGGTTTTTCGCGTTCAATGTTTCCTACTTTGAAATGACATCAAAAATCCGTCATGGAGATCGGATTGAGGTTTTAGATCTTACAAATCGAAGCTCAAAAATAAGCACTTCGTAGAATGTACCACTCACCTTCACTGTGATATCTCTTCTTTCACCTGCAGCTACCTAAAGTTCGGTTTGCGGTGCGACGGTACGTGGACATTTCTGTGGACCTTTTCTCCTAGAGTGACCCTCACGCTGGAATGCAAATTTGAAGGCTTATCTATCATTAGAAACAAGAACACAGACTTTACCTGCATATTATGACTTTGTGCAAAATCTGAGAACTTGGAATCTCGAAAAAGAAAATGAAAATTTTTTGTGCGCCTGTCACAATTTCTAACAGGTAAACTGTAAGTAGACGATATACTGAAAAATGTGAAAGAGTTGCATGAACTTGCATAGCAGATCTGCATTTAGCAAGAATGCGACAGACTAACCGTATAAGATATTTTCTGAGACAGAGCCAAGCAGTGTATTTTCTGAGACAGAGCCAAGCAGTGCACGGATAATTCTAGCATCAATCAATCCCGGAAACACGGAAATAATTCAAGAGACAGCACATAAGGGTACCGAGGCCGAATCTCGGATTATATACTTTTTGTGTCGAAAATCCAGAATTAATCACAAAAACCACTCCATCAATAGTCAACGATGTCTCAGCAAGTCGAAAAAAGCCAAACACTAAAAGGTGACTAAGTGCATCCGCACGTAAACCTAAAACCTGAAACCTGAAGAGAAGGAGATGAACAATTAAACGCCAACGCGCCGACGAGGAACACAAAAAACCAAAAAAAAGAAAAACGAGCGCGAAAGAACGAAAAAAAACGAGTAAGACGAGAGCGACGGCAACTTATTTTCGAAAATGCTAAGCTGCGTATCACAGCAAATTGACTGCGTACATATATGTGCGTCGGACCCCTCCCATTTTGTGCTCCGGACCCCTCCCATTTTGTGTGCCGGAGCCCTCCCATTTTCTGTTCCGGACCCCTCCGATTTTCTGCTCCGCGGCTCGTCCAAATCTGGCGAACTCGCGGCGGGCAAATCTCTGCGCCGCGACTCCAGCAAATCTGGCGTACTTGCGGCGAAGAGATTTGCAAGCCCACCGGAGGGGTCCCATCTGCCTTCTTTGTGGCGTCACAAGAAGGGACCGCCCCCTCGCCTCGCTCTCATTGGTCAACTGGGTTCGCCGCGGCTCTGGCAGATTTCGACTGTCCGCGGAGGGGTCCGATCGACTGTCTGAGTCCCCGTTCTCCTCTTTCCTCCTTTCCTAGGCAAACCTAGAAAACCTGTGCTTATTCTGACACATCTGCCTTTAAATTTGCAACTCCTTGAACAAAACATTTTATCTCATGGTCCATTTGAGAGATACAGAATTTTGCAGATTCGATGACCGCCCATACTTCTGGAGCAGTGAACTCCCGATACTTACCGAAGAGTTTCCTGTGCTCTGCGTGAACAAAATTGACCCAGAGGATAAGCAATTTGGCCAGGTGAGTATGTACAAGGTGTTTCCAAAAATGTGCCTACTGTTTAATTGTTTTTAACTCTCTTGTCATTGAGTCTTTCGAGAAGCTTCAGGTATCATCTTGTACGGCTGGCTTTAGCATATTACAATATGGGGCTAACTACCGCTCTCTATTCATTACTGTAGGATTACGGTAGGAACTGTGAAGAGTGCTTTGTGTCATTGAGGGTCATATTTTACCCTTACAAATAAACTAAAGAAGCTAAAAAATCTTACACTAGCTTATTCAGGATCTCGATTTCAAATATGAAACTCGCAACTCACCGTAACGCTTTCCTCGTATGTTATGCCAAATATACCGTTGCAACCAGTTCCTGATATTCGCCAAAAATTGATTATGCCGTTTAAATTCTGCGTGCGCAAAAAGTTATTTAGTAAAATCAGTATGCAGGAAAACCTTATTGCACAATTTATCAGATTTTTTGAAAAACTTTTATCAAACGGCTCACAGTGGCATATCCTGCGAGTTCCCACCGTAATCCAACAGTGGCATGAGTGATCGGTGATTTGCTCTATACTGTAAATCTAAGTTGAAGCCAGCTCTACAGCTAGTACCTAAATTTTCTCGAAAAATTCTTTGACAAGACAGTTATTAACAATCAAACAGTAGGCGCATTTTGTTGGGATACTAGGTATGTTGGACCTTGTGTCCAAATGTTAGGTCGGTCCGAAAGTTCTCTCGTTTCATTTTCCAAAATTGGCAACTTTGCGCTATTTCACTATTTATTGAAAAGAATAATTTTTGGTTTTCGGATATTTATCCGAGCTTTGTTCACACTGACTGCACAGATGAAAATGGAAAAATAAAACTATCTAAGCTTTGATCATTTTGAGTTAGGCCAAAAATCTGAAACGCTGCAGAAAAATCTGAAACCGTTAGTACACAGGTTTCTTGACCTTTGCTGCCGAAAAAAGGCTGCGTTCTTTTGACGTTTCTGGGAGAACTTACGAATTTCAAGGAATGGCGAATTCTGTACTAAACTCGTATTTCATCACTTCTCACAGGAATGTCAAAACAGCATAATCTTTTTTTTTGGTGCAAAGAGCAGCTCCTAAAACAGTACTGAAGTCAGATTTTCCTGCAACGTTTGAGATATTTAGCGGCCTGACTTAAAATTATCCAAACTTATATTGTCTTCTTTTTCCATTTTTTCATTGCAATCACTAGGAAAAAGAAGTTTGGGAAGAAAGCATCTGAAAGCGAAAAACTTACTCTTTCGAACAAAAAACTAATAAACAAATCCGTTGAGACAGCGCAAAGTTACAAATTTTTGAGAGTGAAACGACAGAACTTTCGGAGCTAACCAATGATTTACTTTGTTTTCATTCAAGAGAAATTGTGAGAAAAATTTGTGACATATTCAAGATATACAATGAGAATGGAACACGCGTGACTGAAATTGCATACCCATGTGCTAAAGGAGAATCTTGTTGCGGGTACGATTGTTGCTACGAACGATCATTCTGGTTGGAATTTCTCTATGAAATGTTAGTTTTTATACGTTATTCTTTTTTCTGAGTAGTGAAGAAAAGCAGTTTCAGAATATATGGGCTGCTTTTATACTTAGTTTTATTTGTCGTTCTCCCCGTGGTTGTCATCGCGGTCGTCTTTGTTGTGAAATGGATGTACGACAAATGTAGTGGTGTATGTAGGCGATGTCGGCGTACGAAACTCTGGGAACTGGTGCCGCTCAGATCATGAAAGGCATAGTTTGCCTGCTTTCTTAACTTTTTTCTCCTCATATCTATCTTCAGGATTTTCAGCTGTGCCTCGTGCAATGTCGTCAATCTCTGCCATATCTCTTCTGTGATCAAAAAAGGGTTGTGCTACCTTAGACACACGGGTAATACAAAAATCTGCGGACATTGAACCATCTAAATAAAAACTTAAACACTTTCCAACACGCATTGAACTTCGTAATATCAAACTGTATATACGGACTAAATCTTATATATAAAGCTGAATGTCTGTGTGTCTGTCTGTCTGTATGTCTGTCTGTCTATCTGTCTGTCTGTCTGTATGTCTGTACGTACGTTCCGAATAGAAAATTCCATTTCTGAACCGATCCGGACCAAACTTGGCACACATACACTACGGGCCCCGGCGGGTGTCATAGGCTACTTTTCGTCATCGATCGATATCGATTTTATCGATTTTTATCGATTTTTTTTGCTGAGTTCACCTACGGGGCTGGGAGTTGGCACAGGGGGGTAATCGAGCATGGGGATTCCGAATACAATATTGGTTTTCAGGATTATCGATTACTTTTATCGATTTTATCGATTTTTTTGCAAAGTTTGAGCTACGGGGCTGGGAGTTCGCACAGGGGGTAATCGAGCATGCTGATTACGAACACAATATTAGTTTTAGGATCGTCCATTACTTTTATCGATTTTATCGATTTTTTTTGTAAAGTTTGACCTGCGGGGCTTGGAGTTTGCACAGGGGGGTAATCGAGCATGCAGATTACGAATACAATATTGGTTTTCGGGATTATCGAATACTTTTATCGATTTTATCGATTTTTTTGCAAAGTTTGAGCTAGGGGGCTGGGAGTTGGCACAGGGGGGTAATCGAGCATGCTGATCACTCCCAAGGGGGGTGATCAGCATGCTCGATTACACCCCTGTGCCAAATTCCAGCCTCCTAGCTCAAATTTTCGAAAAATCGATAAAATCGATAAAAGTAATGGACGATCCTGAAAACTAATATTGTGTTCGTAATCAGCATGCTCGATTACCCCCTGCGCAAAATCCCAGTCTCGCATGTCAAAATTTACAAAAAATCGATAAAATCAATAAAAGTAATCGATAATTCTGAAAACTAATATTGTATTCGGAATCCCCATGCTCACTTCCCCCCGTGTGCCAACTCCTAGCCCTGTAGGTGAACTCTGCAAAAAAATCGATAAAAATCGGTAAAATCGACATCGATCGATAACGAAAAGTGGACTGTGACACCCGCCGGGGCCCGAAGTGTATGTGTGCCAAGTTTGGTCCGGATACGGCGGAGCCGGCTAAGCCAGCTAGTTTGTGATAAAACCAAAGAACGTTTCAAAAATTGCGTACAGTAACAAGTGCGGAGGGAGACCGACTAGACTAAGTGGAGGGAGGTGATTGGAATGAGGGATATGGAATTTGGAAAGGTAGGTATAACAATAATACGTTGTTCAACAATATTGAACATCCACACACTATGGTTGGAATATATCTTAGTGTATACTTGCGAAAAATTCGAAGTACAAAATACAAAAAAAAAACAGTTGCAGAATACAAAAACATAGAGGCCCATTGAAACAGGCAAAGATCTGCCAGATAGATGCGAAGGTCTCTCTTGTCAGCGTTGCTCGTTATCTTATTACATGGAATGTTATAAGTTGATATAGTATTTGTAATAATAATATAACGATCTATGATACCGAGATCGCTAGAGTTAAATTCGGTTAGTCCGTCTGCAGTACCCTCTGCTAGTTCATACAACCCCCTCAACACAACGCAATTTGTGAAAAAAATTGGTGGCGACCGCTCAACTCAAGCGGCTGCCGCCGAACTAAGGTGGCCGTCCCGTCGGAGCTCGCCGATAATTTGGGTTGCATCGCCATCTCGGTATAGAGTGCGTGAATTCCGAATACAAAAGCATCATTCGACTCAACTTGGCGAGGCGTATCTTCTGATGTATGGAAGTGCCTAGTCCGTAGGGTACGGTAGGAGCACGGTAGGCAGTCAAGTTCACTTCCTCTTGATACACAGTGTGCTATTTTCAGTGGTGACATTCTGTTGAGTATACTGCAGAAATACATTACACTACACACTCCAATTACTCGAGAGAAAACGCAGAACTGACGATCCGCGTTTTTCGTTTTCCTTCATAACTTCCTTCAGATTGCATAAGATAAAAATCAGAAAAAAAAGCATAATGCTCTCGTCAAGGCGAATCTAGTGGTATGCTTCATTACCTTGCTATTCCGTTTTCAATCTGCTCGATTTTTTACGAGGACGGGTATTCGCAGATGTGTGGCGCAGCGCAAAACACACAAAGAAGTTTTTGATAAGTACAGTTCGGTAGAGGCTGTACCGGTGGGTCTTTTTTCAAGCGAGAAAGGTAGGCCGGTGAATCTTGCGAGAATCCGTGTCTCCTTATTTTTGCTACCGTAGTCTACAGTAAGGCGCTAATTGCAAAGCAGGTGCGCTTTTCGTAATCACATAGATAACCTCCATGAGCAAGTTTTCCAAGAAATTCGGTCCTTTTTTTCTCGTTTCAGACTCTGAAGCCCACCACGGGTTTTGCCTGAAATATGGATGGTTCTTGGATTGACTGGAATCTTTGCCCATGAAGCTTTTCGGACCCGCTGATTACGAAAATAGTGCTCTTTATACACTGCAAATCCTTTTCGTCTGGTCATGCTGGGAGAAATGCTGCGATACACGCAAGCTCCTTAATTTGCCTATACTTTTCGCGGATCTGTTGGGTAACGTACCTCCTACTTTTTCTATATTGAAATCAATAGATTTAGTGCTATCGGAGCATTCTTGGGCCAGGTCCTTATTCGCATTGATCGCCAAACTGTAAGCATACGAATTCACGTCCTCATGAATATCGCCCAAAATTTTGAAGTTGCATACTTTGGCCAGATATCGTCGTGATTGGTTACAGAACAACTGATTGCAGAAGATATTAAATATTGATATTCGGACACCCTGTATATATTGCATATATACAGGGTGACCGTAAAGTATGTATACACTGTTTGATCGTTAATATCTCTTTTCCCAAGAAGTCTTTTGCCTTGCTCCAGGTACCAGTTTGTAGAGCTGGCTTCAGCTTAGATGCACAGTATGGAACGAATCGCCCATATCTCTTCATTACTGTAGGATTACGGTGGAAATTTCAAAGAGGGTTTTGCGCCATGAAAGGCCATATTTTGCCTCAGAAAGGAAAGAAAACAGCCTGAAAAGTTTTACTCTAGGCTAATTAGAGTTGCTGATTATAACTGTAAAGTTCCCAACTTATTGTGATGCTTCACTGAAGAATTATGCCAGGTAAGAGGTAGCGGTCATTTTTTCAATGTTCCTAAAAAGTGCGGTTACACCGTTTAGAAAGCTTCGCAGTCTTGTGAATAGTTAAGTATTGAACTCAGCGTCCATAAAAACTCTATTACACAAGTTTTCACATTTTTTTGAAAAATTCTGAAACGGCAGCTTTTTCCACATTGACACCATATGTTTCAAGTTTCTACCGTAATTCTACAGTAATGAAGAGAGATGGGCGATTCGTTCTATACTGCATATCTAAATTGAAGCCAGCTCTACAAAATGGTACCTGAGGCAAGGCAAAAGACTTCTTGGGAAAAGAGATATTAACAATCAAACAGTGCATACATACTTTACGGTCACCCTGTATATATATATATATATGACTAGTGAGCCCCGCGACCTTGTGTGTTGCATGCCGGGGAGCGTGATAGATTCACGCCTTCTGCATCTCAGTCAATGCATCTAATTGTTAGTTCAACGTCCGCAGCTTTTGATGCAAAGATGCTGTCAGTGTCGGTGCACACGTTAGGTTGGACTTCGCTACGTGGCGTACGCGACTTATGCAGCGTACTCCGCGCAGTTCGGCCCAACCTTTCCTGCCTCATTTTATCCAGCCTAGTGCACATATATATAAACCACACTTTTCCTAGGCCTTCCAGGGTTGAAATCGATCCTCTCTCCAAGGTTCTTTTTGGGGGGGGGGGAGAGGTATTAGAGTCCTAAATTTGTGGAAGCGGTCTCTTTCCTTCGTAAAGCTAAATCCATAGTGCTTATTTCTCACTCTCCCACACAACCTGGGCTCCAATATTTTTCTACCATAAATTTTCTAGTCGAAGTGCACACATCGCTTTCAAGTTAGCGTAAGTACCTGCTTCAATACCCCATAGTGCCTCCTCTCCCCTCCCCCTCTATACTGTCATCAACTCCAAGCGTTAGGCTGGTTTAAAAACGCTTCACCACCACGGTTGAGGTTTAATCAACGGTTTATCAAATCGGCAATGCTTCGGCATTCATCCCCGGAAAGCAATGACCTCAGCGTTAGCGATAAGTCCCAAAGTCTTCCTCTCAAGTTTTCTATCAGATTGAACCGTTGCTAGACTGGATTTGCACCGCACAGAAGTAGAGTTTCCAAATAAAAGCAGCCTCCAGGCAAATTCAAACAATATGAAGATTAAAACTGGAAAGTAATTTTGGGAACCCAGCTAAGACCTGCTCAAGCGGCAGCTAGATAGTGTACTCACGGTGAGATATTCGCCTCCAAACCGGACCCCAGGATCGCAATAATGGGCGCAATAATAGACAAAATTGCTGTCCACGTAAGACCTGTCCAGATTTGGCTGGACGCTGCCTTTGAGTGATCTATATGTCAGAAAGACTAACATAGGATCATGTAGCTGAGATCCGGAAGAAACAAAGCCGATTCAGTATTGTCCATGTTCGGCTATCCTTGGACATTTGCATGTCTTGTCACTTGTTGGTTGTGTGATTTGAGCAGTCGACAAAATGGTAACACTGTTTACATGATTCAATGGCCTACGTTTCGGCGCTGTCGCCTTCGTCAGAGCCTGGAAGTCGAAATCATCAGCATCTGTTCCCTCAGACATCAACAAAAGACTCAAAGTATTATTCGAAAAAAGCCAATAAAACCTAGTCAGAGTACAAGAGCAGCACTAACCTTAGCTAGAAGCAAAACGGAAGTCGGAAGACCACCGTGTATGCAAGACCATGCCCCAGCTCTACTTATATATGAAGTTCTGACCTGACCCCATATTCAAATCCGCATAGGGATATGGCGCCATTTCTTTGGTGATAGCGATACACTCCTCCTTTCTATTCATTTTTGGATTTTTGCCGTTTATCCAAAACGCT